AATGTACACAGATATCTAAATGTTTGTGTCATTCTAAGTTAGGAAAACATCAAGGAAGCTACAAAATGCAATAGTAAGTAGGAACCTCATTAAATAAACTAGCAGTATTTCACTCGACAGGTAAGGAGCAGTCGTTCTGGCAATACGCCAAACCTTTCCAGACCCCCCCCCCCCCCCCCCATCTGCACCTACAACAACCTACAACAAACTACTGCATCAACTGACAACAGACTCTCCAAAGTTTCGTACTGGTTACCCATATCATCCCACACAGTGTCACATTTCCCTTAAGGCATTTTGCGACCCTGTTTAATACACTCAGTATTATAAGCGCTTGTTAGACAGCCATACATTCATAGTAGGATGATATGAACACGCATATGTTTTTTGGGTACAGGTGAGCCCAGTGACAGACAAGCTGGAAAAACGATGTTATTTTCAACAGGTAGGTCACATTTTTTCAGTTGCAGCATTGCGATACCCTTTACCAGGTACCCTTCAGTATTGTGCAGTACTGGAATACAAATGAAGAGTATTGGGAGTTCTCTTAAAGGTCACCTATCATGCTATTTTTAGGCAATAGCATAGGTCTCAGATATATAAAAATATATAAAAAAACATGTCTATGAAGTGTTTTGCTCAAAATACCAAACAGATCACCCATCCAACCTAGGGATGCTCCGATCGATCGGCCGCCGATCGATATCGGCCGATACTCACTCTCTGCCGATCGATCGGTGCTCTCTAAAAATGCCGATCGCATGACGTAAAATACATGACACTTTTCTATGTGTGCGGCACAACAAGCTCGCCAAAATGTATTTTAAGGTGTCCAAAAATGACAATAAAATAGCGGTATGCAACGTGTGTGAAGCAGAAATCCTGCAGCTCCACCCGCTGTGACGGACCGGTGACCGGAGCAAAACACACACTAAGAGTTAGACCTAACAAACTTAGCTATTTTATCTACCTCTGGAACAAGATAAACTAGTTATAAATATATGTATTCTTCAGTCGGGTCACTCACAGTGAGCTGCATGAAATACTGACAGGCTGTCAGGGGAGGGAGAGAGGGGGAGAGAGGAAAAGAGAGCGCTTCCGCTCATTTCTCCCGTGTTATTATCCAAAGTTAATGTAAACTTAAATAATGTACTTCATTTGAATGTAATAATTATGTTGTTTGTGGAAGTGCCAGTGAATGAGCCCCATTAACTGAGTTTTAAACATCACTTTAAATGGAAGATCCCCATAGGCCCCGCCCACTCGATCGGTATCGGCCGATACTGATTCCGGCGATCGGCTCCAAAATTGGCGATCGGAGCATCCCTAAATTCTAGCCATGCCTCATATTCCTCTATTTAACTTCCTGTTTCAAAAGTGCTGATTTTGGGTATAAAGCTTTAAAAAAAAAATTGATTAAAAAAGAGGGGCGGAGCTTATGCCTGCTCATGCGGGAGATTCTACCGGCAGATACTGCCGTGACGAAACACCATATCATGGATTATCAAGGATTATTTCTGAAACAGTATGGAGCTCAAAGGCTTTCTCTCTTGCCGGTTATACCACAAGGTGAGTTCCTTTTTATTTCCTGCTTCTTGACACACATGCTCTGTGCAGTACAGGTTAGCTCTGAGTGTTAGCAATGCTAATGTAAACACCGACCATATTAAGTCCAAAACAGTCGGGCATTGTTTCTGATAGTGCTGTGGGTCTGCATTGCCGATATGACGTCATATCGGATGCAAATCTGGATCAGCTACGTTGTACCCCCGTTTTTAGAGATTTGGGTACGGAGGAAAAGAAAAGAGGGTTTTATTTTCTGACGCTGCGTGAGTTCCCTGACACACCGGGGACACATATTTATGTATAAAAGACATCAAAAAGTGAATTTTGCATGATAGGTCTCCTTTAAGTATCAGGCGTGGGTCATGTGGCTTGTGACCTAAAGGCAACAGGTTCAAATTCTTAGACTTGCTGGGCTGAATTTGAATGAGTTAGGATGGCTGTCTGCTTCTGTATTGAAACCTTCCAGAAATCCTGCTTTGCAAGGTTATAATCCAGCATGTTTGCACTGGGATTTGCTTTGTAACATAACAAATGATTATTTGAAAGTCATATAGAAGTTTACTGAACCTTACTTTAACAGTTGTCTCAACTATCAACACTCTCTACCATCAACAACCTACAAGAGGAAAACGCAGGCAAATCTTTGTGACCAGTCTTGTGTTTTACACAATGTTTCTCCTTCAGCCAAAGGTGACCAAATTTAGGAAAATGTATTTTGGAAAATCTACATTTTCATTCCACGATAAATTGAACTCAATCCCCACCCACACCATCCACCTCATGGTGTGTATATATCCAACAGTTTGTTCAACAATGAGACCATGTAATGTATAATATATGTTCTGACATTGTTCTGTATGTGATGAACTGTTGCAGACAGTCTTCCTTTTTAATTGTTTGTATAGCACTGTATTGTTCTTTTAAATACTCCTTCCTGTCCATTAACTGCAGATGTAAATTCGGTTGTGTTGTGCATGGACCCCTGGTAAATAAAATAAACCTAACTCAACTTCCTTGCCTGAAACTCAAGTCACTTTTTTGTGGCCTCCACAACACCTTGATGCAAAACCATGTATCCCTCTTAACCTTTTCTTCAACAACACTCTCTGGATGGGCCTCTTGCATGTCAGCCCAGCTGCCATTGACAAAACGTGTCTCTTACACGAGAGTCAACTGTGAGTCGAAGAAAGAAAACATAACAATGACAAAATATAGTAAAAGGTTTTGGGTAGTGCCCTGTAGCCAAATCGTGTAGCTAATAACCTAAAATGTTTGGAGATGTCCCCAAAAGTGGGACCACTGTGTTCCCTTGTCCACAGATGTGCATACTGCTGTGTGTAAACAGTGTGAAATATTTGCACAAAATGCACGCCTTTATATTAGGTTTGCTGCAATTCTGGTTTTGGGCTGCATTCTGATTGTAAGTGCTGCAGATCTAGCACTACACAGAGCAAACAGCCTATTTTAATCTGGGCCCCCTTCATCCTCTTACCGTACCTTTGAGCTGCGGCAGCGGGGAGAGCTCCACCGGGGCGCTCTGTGTGCGGTACTGGGAAGAGCCTTGGGATTTTCTCTGTTTCTGGGCCTTCCTCATGGACTTTCTCGTAAACCCGTCCACTTTCTCGGATGCGGAGATGGCCGACATTTTGATGCACAAATTGACGAAGACTTCAGGCAAGCGATTGTATTCCTAGGTCAAACGAAAGGGTTGTCTTCTGCTCGCACACAAAAATATGGAGCCAAACGCACGACTTGAAGCTCGTCTCCTGTCTGGTGTTATTCTGTATGATCCAACATGGTCGCTCGGTATTAGGATTAGACTGTGTCCAAAGACTGCATCATTCGGGTAACTTGTTCTCTGAAACACGGGGACAATCTTCAAAACACGAAGCAAAAAGCCAAACTCATGACATAGCCCGCAGTATAACCTGGACTTACAAACCGAAGAAAAATTATCGCTCAGCTTTCAAAATGTCTGGTGTGTTTTTTTTACTGCTTTGTCACGTTTGCAAAAAATATACCTGTTGCAAAACGCATTAAAGCCATTCTGTTAAAAAAAGTTTGCTGAATTAGTCGTTAAGTCCCGGCTGTAGCAAACTACTGTACTGCTAGCCTGCTTGCTAACGTACCTAGCTAGCTTGCTAAAAGATTAGCCGACGTTAATGTACGCCACTACGACAACAGTTTGCACCGCTGTCGAGAAAGAAAAGTTACAAAAGGATAGTTGCCCCGTTGAATTCATGTAGTTCCTCGTTACAACACCAAGTCCAGGTCTTCAAGCCGTGTTTTTAAATCCTAGTGAGACTTCCGCTGAGAGTGTTTTCAGAACAACTATCCGCGATCGATGAAGTTGAATTTCGCTCGACGACTGAGTCCCTTAAAAGTTAGCCGTGTCCACATGCAGTTGACTTTGTCTTAACTACATTCCCCGTGAAATCATGAGCTGTAGTTTCGTTTTCACGGCCTCTAAAAACACAGAGTAATCTCAAATAGACGAAATAACTGAACGTCGTGCTGAGCAGGCAGCCATAAACACTCCCAGTGTAGCCGTTCAGTCGTTGTCTGTCTGACTTCACTGTTCGCTGAGCTGAGCAGCCTGACAGGTGTACGTCACAGAATGGCGTCTCCGACGGCCAATCACAAGCAGAGGATTAAAAAACGGTAAACTTTTTAGACCTATTAACTGGCGTGGAAGGCGGGCCCTGGACATGTGACATGTGAAAACAAATACGTGACGTTGTACAGTTGAATGAGGAGTGGCAACTGTAGTAGATGTTCCCACAAAAATATTGGTTGAAGAAGTTTTAATTTGAAATCCTTCATTCAATCCTAGATCACTTTTTGTTAAAGTGGAAACAAGTATACTCATTTAGCTGTGCCTTATGTCATTTTCAATGTATCCATTTCCATAAAATGTTGATATTATGTGTAGGTTTTTCTTGATTCTTGGATAAAAAATAATTTACAAATTCGAAAAATTATACTTTTTGTACATATTTTATATTTGCAAGGTAACATTTTATGAATGTGAATTTGCAAGAGTAAAACCTACCTTTAATGTTTTTAAGAAAGAAATTGAGCTATATTCAGACAGTAACTTCAGCAAAAAAACCTAGTTTAAAGCCTAGGGATTGTTATACAGATGAGTTGGGTTGTATTAAGCGTAATAGACAAGACCATTTATTTGCATTTTTTCTTTCTTGTTCTCTTTGGAATACTGAATAACTTTACATCGCCATGACCTTAGAAAAAATTACTAAAATAAAACATCAGAGTGGACTAATATGTGTAACCTGTTAAGACTTTGTAACCACTGCAATAAACAATGAAATGAGTGACATTTTTGTCACTTGTGTCTCACCACTAAGCACTCTTCATCACACACACAAATCACACTGATGAGATGCAACCAAAAGCATGCAGCACACTGGGAAAACTCTTTAGAATTTAATAATAAAATCTAAACAACGCGAATTTGGATCAACTATATACAAATGAACCAAGCACGACTCATTGGTTATTTTGTACATATAAACAACTTAAGCATATGCTCAAGAAATGTATAAATGTAACACTGAAACAAAAAAGGTACATGAAAAAAACCCACAAAGAAATGAACCGATAAATAAACTTGGGTTCATAAAAATGTTTGTTGATGTGGATCCAATAAATGTTTTTTAGCAGTATTTCAAATGTTCACTCCTTTAGACTCTTTCTGCACTCTGAGGATTCATTCCTGGTGACCTCTTGAACAACATTATTAAATGTGGGTCATTGTGTAAATGCATCTCCTGACGTTGTTAGGTTTGAGTCAAATTAAAGATTTACTCATCAACATACAACTTACTATTCTTTTTTTTTTTAAACAGAGATTCTGAACAGCACTAGAACATTGTGTAGGAGGCAACTGCAAAACCCTAATTAAAAAAAGAAAAGAACAGCCTCTCAGGATGTGAATACTGCAGCGACAAATATCCAGAATGATTATTTTGTCAATCTCAATGAAGCCCAAGTTTATGTGCTCATGAAATCTGGATCTGGATCAGTGTTCTTGGTGGCTCGAGGTTCTGTGGGTTCAGGTTAAAAATACTCAAAATAAAACATGTTTGGTATTTTAAACCGAGGCAAAGCATCCAACTGGCACAGGTGGTCACTCCAGAGGCCTTCTTGCGAAATACATGGAGATTTTCTTTATGCTCTGCGGTGAGCGGATTGTCTGAAAAACATCAAAAACAATATATATTCATATGAATAGCTATAAAATACCCCTGTGCATGTCAACATTCACACTGATAAGTAGAGACAGACAACTATCAGAGAATCCTGCCTCAAGCCTTTGTGTTTCTATTTCTATTTCTATTTCTATTCCCTCTTGGATACAAGAGAAGGAATTTCTAGACTGACATTCCAAGAAAGTATTTTTGTCTTTATTAAATAATGGGCAGTAAAGAGGCTCACAGGAAACATCTCAGGAAAACGGCACATTCTGACATGATAGAGAAAAATGAACACAACTGACAACAGCTAAAACTGTTAAAGCAGAGATTTTTGTGCTTACCGGAGAAACTGGTGTCTTGCCTTCTTGTCTCTTAGAGGCACTGTGGCTTCTGGGAGACCTCGGGCTTCCTTGACCTTTCCTCATCTTCTGGCCCAGCACTGACAGCCAGTCCATGGGTCCGGGGGAGCAGTTCTCCTTGCCGGTCTGAGAGAGCTGCTCGCTGTCCTCTGTGTGACAGTCTGTCTGTAGCCGGCTCTCTTGCTTGGAGCAGCAGATCCCCGACAGAGCCCGGCTTCTCTTGGCCGCCGGGTAGAGTTCAGTAACACAGTCACACTGCTCTGCCCCCCCACAGCCTGCAGAAGACCCCTCTCCCGTCTCCAGCCTGCGTTTGGCCCGTCGCTCGCTGGGAGAGGCGCTGCTCGCCGGGCTCTGAGGACACAGACTGAGCACGCGGCGAGGCTGAGGGCTGGCCTGAGCAGGAGACCCACGGCTCGGGGATAACCATTTCTTGATAGAGGATGGTGTTCTCTGGCGGACAGCGGCAGCTTTGGCACCCTGAGAAGGGATGGGAGAGGCGGTGCTGGAGGAGAGAGGCATTGCGGCTCCGCTGGGAGCACAGGCAGCGAGCCGGGGGGACGCCAGGCCGCCGAGACTCTCTGTCTTCTGGATCTTGGCGGGGGTTGTTTCAGCTCTGATAGAAGGCCCTTAACACATTCATAAGTCCAAGTTAGCTCACAATGAATAATTGAAATGACACATTTTGCAGTTATTAGACAAGACAGCGATGTAGGGCTACAAATAATCTGATGATTATTTTCTAGATTCATTGATACATTTTGTCTGTGAAAATGTCAGAAATTAGCGAAAACTGTCAATCCCATTTTTTTTTTTACATCCAAAGGTGATGTCTTAAAATGACTTTTTTTGTCGGTCAAAAACTTCAGTTTAATATAGTGTAAAACTGAGAGTAGCAGGAAATCTCTATATTCGGGGCACTCCAAATAGCATTTGCTGATCATTTGGCAAATGACTTCATCAGTAAATCAATTATACAAATAGTTGCCAAAACAGCCATCTTCCTGTTCATCTATTATATAACATACTGTCCTAATGTGAATAATTGTAGTTTAATTCTTACCTGAGGGAGATTTAAGACATGCCCAGCCGACAATGTTGGCCTCTCCCACTGAGGATTCGGCTCCATCCATTTTCCGGTGAAGCCTCCAGATACGTACAGTGTGATCATCAGAACAGGAAGCAATCTGTAAACAGAGCAGGGGGGATTAAACAGCGCCTAAATCCATCTTCCCTGCTTATTAAAACCGCTCGGCTTCACAACAGGAAAACACAAATACCTCTGATTTATTTCAAGTGTCTAAGAAAAGCTTAAACCACAAATATAAAAGTTTGTCGGCTCACCTTGGTAAAATCTGTCGGACACCATGCAACAGATGTCACTTCGTCACTATGGCCTTGGAGCATCATGGGAGGCTGATTAGGCTCCGAGATCTGAAATGTCAAATAAGTTGGATAAATGCTAACCATACACTATTATAATAATCAATCAGAATCATAAAAAAACAACACAATTTAGTATGGCAAAATAAAACAGACAGTACCTTCCAGATGTATGCGTTATTGTCACTTGAACCGCTGGCTAAGAACTGGTCATCGGGGCTAATAGTGGACTTTACATAAAAGGAGGAGTTCTGGTGGCCACTGAAAGCTGCCACTGTGGAGGGAAAATTAAAAAAACTGCAATATGAGAATCCCTGAATTAAGAGCAAATCCAAAAAGCAATTAAGTCTGAAATAAGCCCACATAAGAACAAAGAATATAGGAATAAAAACCAAATGACACAAGCCTTAATGAGATACAAAGTTTAAAAACAGAAAGACCTGAGAAACTCAAACAGTCTTAAGTTCAAGTGCGTGCAACGTGTGAGTATTAACCAGCTGTTTTGTACTGATAGGCTGTCCGGTTATAGTTCTACTTAAGGACTTCACATTTTTAATTAAAGCTTCAAATTAAAGATATTAGTAGTACAATCAGACAAAATGCCTGCATCTCTACACTTCCTCTATTTAATAGTGCCCTCCTATTGGCTCCCCATGACAGTTACAGTATAACAAAGGATATACGTTTGCAGCCCCATCTAGTGATATTCAATGGCAATGAATACAATGGAGGATAAACAATGACACAGAAACACAATAGGTTTAGTCAGAGTGGAGTCCTTGTTTACCTGGAGTTGTTTTTGTTCCGCTAACATTGAACATGTAGATATTATCATCAGTGCAGTTACATACGATGTTGGATCTGGTTGAGTCCAGAACAAGTCCGGAATAACCTGTAACACATGCAAAACGACATTAAATTATTCTGCTTATTTGCATATTTTAGGTCAAACAGTGTGTCAGTATTGTACAAAACGTACCCAGTCTCATGCGCATGCAGGAACCCGGGTAGGGGTACGTCTGCAGAGGAACAGGATCCTGACGTAGTGCAGTGTAGTTCTTCCTCAGATCCCACATCTTGATTACACTGAATAAGAGGAAGGAAATAGAACAATGAATTGAATTATGCGTGTCCATTTACTCTGAAGGTCATTTTATTCTGGCTTGGGGCAAGTAACAAAACACATAACACTGCATTCTTACCCATCGACAGCCCCAGAGGAGATGAGGGTGTGCTGATCCTGGAACAGAACCACGGTGACACTCTGCTGGGTGTCCTGCAAGAGAGAGGAGGCGCTCACAGATCAGTATTCCTTCCTCAAAGCCCTACGCCTCATTCTATTATAGCTGTTGAATAAACTCACCACACTGGGAGCCATGCCACGTGTGCTGATCCGCCTCTTCTTGGTTTTGGTGAGGGGGTTTGTCTCTGCTTTGTTGTGAGCGCCACTGATCTGGTTCACCTGCCTGTAGAAACCATCTGAGAGGAAGACATAAACATTGTCACACACATGTATAAGAAAACTAATCTTTATGCATTATCCCCACAAGGTCTTATACATTTCAAAGGTTTAAAAACAAAGACTTGGTTCAACAAAACCGTAAGAATGACTTAATACAAAAAAAACCTTTGTAATTGAAATGTTTGATTCATACCTTTTTTGCTGCACCTGGTGTCCCAGACCATAATATTTCCATCTCTGGCCCCAGTACAGAACACAGCTGTTTCATAGAAGACAAAGAATCAGTAATGTGACACAACAAAGCATCTGTTAAGCAAATGGTATTACATTTAAATAACAAATATCAAGCATCCATATTCTTTACATTGATTACTGCAGAAAAAAACGCTTATTTTCTTTGATCTTTAAATCTAACTTCCACATTTCTTTTCTGCCTGGCAAATGATTAATTCTACCAACAGATGAGGATGTTTAAACATGAAAAAAACAGCCTGCTATAGCCTCAAAGTCAACCCACCAACACAGTGTTTTCTTGTGTCTTTTGAGACAGAAACGGGAACAAATATCCCTTAGCAACAGAGTATTCAGGCACTATCTAGTTTACCTTTCTCCTGTGGTGCGAATGCAACAGACTTGAGGCTGCAGAGGTGACCTTTGAAGCTGCCTAACATCTCCCCTGACCTCACATCCCACAGCCTGGCCAACTGATCACCAGCAGCAGTAACCTAAGGAAGACAATTTAACAATAACAATTATTTAAAGAAGGGTTTATTAGTAAGAAAAAGGACAATTACAATCTGCTTTATATGCTGCAAGAAGAACAAGAGTCACATCAAGACGGCAAAACCATGCAAAATCAATTAATCAACTTTTAAAGGAACATATATTTGATGCATTTATGGCTAATGCATACAACAAAAGAACATAGACATAGTAATTATGGTATTAATTACATTTTACTTACCAAGTGAGGCTCCCCCGGTACCCAGGCTATGTCAAAAACAGCGTTCTCATGGGCCAGCCATTCTGCAAATAATAACACACAATCAGCTATACTTCCTGATAACTGTCAGAACTATTGTGAAAAAAGGGAGTTTCTACACATACCTTTTAGAAGTGGCTTCTCCCGGCTCTCTGTGTTGTAGATTCTAACAATGCCTTCTTCATTAGCTGCTGCCAGGATGTTCTGCATGTGTCCGACTGAAGAGAGACACACCAGTTAGATGGATATAAAAAGCAAAACAGATCCTAGCTCTGCTGTGTATCCTGTGAGGATAATTGACTATGTACTGAACACAGGTGGGTTACCAGAGGAGAAGGCCAGTCCAAACGGGGGCACAGAGTCCCCCAGGTTGCCGTAAGAGATGTGTTCATCGTGTCGGACGCAGTGGTACCCCCCCAGCAGAGAGCTCAGGGGGTGCCTCGGCCCGGGGTCTGCAAGGACGGCTGGAGAGACAAAAGGAGAAACATACTTGTAGTCAGACATTGTTTTAAAACTATACCAACTGATCCTTCAATCTGTGATTTTAGTACACAGCATTCAGAGATTAAATTGCACCATTTGTTTATTAAAGCTATCTGACAGCTGTTTTTACTTACTTTTTCCTGTTTGACTTTTTCTTCTGACATTTAAAAACAGTGATAAAAGCCTGGGCAGCAACTCAGTATTACAATTAATCTACTTTTAGTGGCATAATAAAGTAATGGTTGAATCATATAATGTTATATTTTATTCATTTGCTTTTTTAATTGTATTTACTTGTTATGCCTACGCGCATTGTTGGAAAAGTACTGAGATCCTTTACTTACAGTAAGTCAAAGTACAATTATTATGGTCTTAAATTACTCAACTACAAGTACAAGTCCTGATTTCAAATGTTACTTGAGTATTTTTGTATTTATTTATTCATTTATTTAACAGGGACAGTGCACATTAATGAACATTTCTGTAAATGTGCCAGAGTTAGCCAAGAGGCTATTTTTCATCTGTAGTCCCTGGACAGATTTTAAAAGTCAACCTTATTCAGTAAAAGTAAAAGAGTGTTAGCATCAATATGTACTTAAAGTACAGAAAGTAAAAGTACTCATTCTGCACAATGACACACTTCAGAATAATACAGAATATTATCAGCTAAATGTATTTCAAGTATCAAAAGTAAAAGCAATCCTTATGCAGAATGCATCTTTTCACAGTATTTTATTATTGTGGTTATTTTATTATCCTGTTTTATACATGTAAAAGCATTTTAGTATTGTTGTTTGTCAATGTGGACTAAATGTAGGTATGGAAATACTGTGTAATAATAATAATACATTATATTTCTAGAGCGCTTTTCTTGAACCCAAAGACGCTTGTAGATTAGTATTACAGTACCCCATTATACCATATCAGCATATCATGTTTTATATGTACAAAGTAGCTGTGAATATTAAAATAAGTGTAGTGGAGTAAAAAGTACAATATTTGTAAGGCTTTTTCTGAAAGCATTCATGTATAATGTGGCATGCTGTTATATTTGTACATGCTGTAAAGTGTACAGTTTTGCCTCTTTGATTGAGTACACTTTTATGTTATTTTCCCGACTGTTTTAAAGTCTCACTTGAAAATGAGTTCTCAATCACAATGTGACTTCCTGATTAAATTAAGTAACTCTATTTCAGACGTTACGCTTTTTAATGTAACGTCACTTTACGTAATGTACGTGAACTAATGCCAATTTGAGCTACTTTAGGAACGTTTAATCATACTGCCATTGCAACAGAACTGTAAATGTATTTAATTTGAATAAAGCAAACATTAAAGTAAGCTTGGAATACATTTGATCTTAGCCTATCTACATGAAGTTAGCACAAAACACACACAGGGCAAACCCGGGAACCGAAAAGCACCAGAAATAATCCCCAACAATATATGTTCTCACCATTCTGCCTTCGTTTGCCCACTCCTCTGTCAACTATCGAGCGGAACAGCATCGCTACACTCCAGTACAGGACGATCTGAAATTAATTTAGTGAGACGTTTTCTCAGATGAGCTGGTGGTCTTTTTTCCGAGTTGCTACTTCTGCTAGTGTTTCCCGCGAACAGTTCTGTGAACAGAGGACTGAATCCCCCGCTAAACCTGCGTTCCGCGCTCCCATTGGCTGAGAGCAGCGACGCGTCCACTTCCGCTTCCTCTGTGGGAATGCACTGTAAAGTTTGCCATCATAACCATGATCATAACTACCGACTACAGATCATGCTACAGATCGCATTACTTCCGATTTAAAAGTACGACTATCTTCTGACAGACAATCATAATGGAATACTCACAGTGGGTCTATTTCTAAATCAAAATATTTTTGCCTTACTTTATAAAGAACATGATGATACATTTAAAATACGACAGAAGTAGCCAAGGTTGTTTATTTCTCTGAATATTTCCAGAAACTCCTATTCCTATCCTACTTGTAAGTTAATAAACATTGATAATACAACACATATAACACAAATTCTGGCAACAACAAAAAAGGTTTAGAGAAATACAGTATTATTATTAAATGTAGTTGAGTAAAAATAAATGTGATTGAGTCGAAAGACAAGGTAAGATAACATAGAAGTAGGCTGCCTTACATACATTTGAACGAAAGTAATTAACCGAATAATTGTTAACAAAGAAGAAAATTGATCAACAGTGAAATGATACAAAATAAAATGTGACAATGTTGTTGTTGTTTTATTGTGAAAACGAAAACTGTGCACCGGAAATAGAATCACTGCAACATCCGGTTTTGTGTACTCTCCGCCTGTACAATGAAATGCTAACGGCCCATTGGTGCTTCCAAGCCTCTTTTTTATTATAGAATAAAACTTAACAAAAATGTCGCTTTCTACTGCACGCACCTTCCTATCAGAGGCTTGTTATGGCGAACAAGAACTCGACGCTAATTCCGCTCTCATGGAGCTGGACAAAGGTGAGTTAGCTAACTTGCTAACTAGCTAGCATCAGTTGTGATCCTGTGTGATGGGTCTTAGTTCCCATGTGTCTGTTTTGCTAAATGTAAACTGCTTGAAGAGTCCCTGCTTTGGTGTGACCGATGAAATTGCTCATTTGTTCAGGGCTGCGGTCGACAAAGCTGGGAGAGCAGTGTGAGGCTGTGGTGCTTTTTCCTAAACTCTTCCAGAAATACCCTTTTCCCATCCTCATCAACTCTGCATTTCTGAAGCTGGCAGACATCTTCAGACTCGGGTAAGAATGCTTTATAACTTGGTATTCAAACAGTAACATGTCCATAAACCCCAAAACAAAACATCAAGGGTTTCTAAAGTGGACCTTTCTCCATTTAGATGTAGCAAACTGACCACTGTCATACAGGTATAAGTCTTCTGTGACCTGGAGAAAGTGATTGATTTTAAAAGCCTCTTTTTAAAACGACCCTTCAAAGACACATTTAATAATCTTGCAGACATAAGAACACATTACAATATAAAATGTAAACAAACAACAAACACATATATATAGTTAATCAGCATTTTCATGTCATTAACCTAAGTCACCAATTAATCAAAACATAGAGAACATCATTGTCCTTACTTTTCGGAATGATGTTATTCAGTAGGTACAGGTAGGTATGTATCAGCAAGTATTGTAAAAATAAATATTTTAAACATGAACAACTAAAACATGAAAGATTAAAAGGATTCAATAAATAACCATATTTTGTGTCTTTACTAAAACTGGTTTTACTATGGTATATATCTCTTTATTTACATTTAAAAAAAATGTCTCTCTGATTTCAGGAACAATTTTCTGCGTCTCTGTGTGCTGAAAGTGACTCAACAGAGCGAGAAACATCTTGAAAAGATCCTCAATGTGGACGAATTTGTCAAAAGGGTGTTTTCAGTCATCCACAGCAACGACCCTGTGGCCCGAGCCATCACTCTGAGGTAAATATGCGTGTACAAAAACAAATAATGTTTGAACTAAAGTTTTGCTGGTTGGCTTCAGATTTACGTAAGAAATAAGAGATATCCTGCAATGTTGTACTACTCTTTACATGCTTTCCAGATTATTTGAGGCTTGAATTCATCTATTTTCCTTTTGTTTCTTTTCAGGATGCTCGGTAGTTTGGCCTCCATCATCCCGGACAGGAAGAATGCCCACCACAGTATTCGCCAAAGTCTGGACTCCCATGACAATGTAGAAGTGGAGGCTGCCATATATGCTGCTGCAAGCTTCTCAGCACAGTCAAAGTAAGATTGTTTCTTACCCGCGCTGTGATGCATAAATACTGTATGTGATGATGTTTTGTGTAAAATAGATTTGGTGTGTTTCCTGATTTTCAGAGACTTTGCAGCGGGGATTTGCAACAAAGTCAGTGAGATGATTCAAGGTAAAATCTTTATTCAGAACTTAAAATCTCACATATCACTTTTAGTAAAAAAAAAGCTTTACATATTACCTTTTTTCAGCATTGAATATTTGACAATTTTCCAAACAAAAATGAAAAACGTAAACAAAAGCCTAAAATTGTCGATTTAATAAGAATTTCATCTACAGAAGTCATAATATAACCAATTCTTTCAAACGTTCTTAAAAATGTACAACTGTTTTTAAACAAACAAGCATTAAAAGGTGATTAGTGTACACACTCTATTTGATAATCAAAATGAAACGCATACATTTGATTGTACATTCACATACCAACGGAAGATGAATGTATGGATATTTGCAACCACCACTAAGAGATAGTGAATACAAATTTAACAAAATCCACAAATAATTTACCTCAATAATCACTGTTCAGCAGATCAGTGTTGGTTTGTGCATTTATTTTTGTATCTATAGAGTTTACATTCCTCTTCCTCCTTTGTCTCCACTCAGCTTTAGACACCCCGGTGGACCTGAAGCTGAAGCTGATCCCGATGCTGCAGCACATGCATCACGACGCCAGCCTGGCCTCCAGCAGCAGAGAGCTGCTGCAGCACCTGGTCAGCTCCTACCCCTCCACCCCCATGGTCATCGTCACCCTGCACACCTTCACCCAGCTCGCTGCCTCCTCCCTCATCGATATCCCAAAGCAGGTAGAACAATAACAGAGCTCCACCTCGTTCACACATTCAAATGTTTGTCTTTGAATATTGGATTTTATTTTATTGGCACTGTCTCTATTATTAAGATCTGGACTCTTCTACCTTTTTAGATTTGGAGACATTTGCTGCCTGTGATGCCCTTTCTCCTCTTTCTTGTGTTTCTTCAATTGTTCTATCCAAAAAGGAAAAAAATCTAAATTGTGTACTTTATCTATACAGTTGCAGCTCCTCCTTCAGTACCTTAAAGACGACCCACGAAAAGCTGTGAAGAGACTCGCGACTAATGATCTGAAGCTCCTGGCTAAAAAGGCTCCTCACCTTTGGATCAGAGAGAACACTCAGGTAGAGTTACAGCTGCACTGTCGGACCGTCTTAGTATTGTTTTCAAAATGTGTAGGTAATCTAAAGTGTTTCTCCTCGGCAGACGCTGTGTGAGTGTGCCTTGAGCAGCCCTTACAACAGCCTGAAGCTGGGGATGCTGGCCGTCCTCTCCACCCTCTCTGGAACCATCGCACTCAAGCAGTACTTTCACAATATGACAGGTACTTTTTGCTTTTAATTAATGAAATGTCCTATGTAAGAATTGTAATGTAAAGTAAACTTTTCAACTTTCTCCCCCTTGCGACCAGATTGCTTTCCCTTTTCCTCAAAGCCTAAAACGACACGTTTTACATTCCGATCAGCAGGGGGAAAAGCAAGAAATATATTCATAAATTGTTATTTATTCTCAATGCTGTTCAGAGTAGTCTCAGTCCTCTTCATCCAACAGTACGCGGTCTCTCCCTCTCCTCTTGCTCTGTGCGTAGGCCGTCTCTCCCTCGTTGCACACATCGAGCTTTATGCAAATGAAAGCCTGATGGTGTTGCCAACATGCAAATGAGCAAACTTTTGCAGTTAGTGCTAGGAGTTGGTAACACGGCAAAGGACACACTGCACATGTTTGGGCTATTCATATTTACTCAATAATAATAATAAGTTTAAATTAAAGGGGACCTATCATGCAAAATGCACTTTTGCACGTCTTTTATACATGAAAATGTGTCCCCGGTGTTCCAGGGAACTCACCAAGTGTCAGAAAACACAACCCTCTCTATTTTCCTCCATACCCAAATCTCTAAAAAAGGGGCTGCAACGGATCTGATAAAAACTGATCCAGATTTGAACACTGACCTGACGTCAGGACGGTGGCGCTACGGCTATTGGGCCAACTCCACCAATCAGGAGGAGACAGCCACGGCCATTGCCGTTCGAAAGCGCTGGAGACGCTGTAGTACATATGCCAGGCCTGTAGATGGTGCTGTTCTCACTGAATCAGCCCTTGCAAAAACGGGTAAAAAAGTGCAAATTGAGCAAAATGAGGCATGGCTAAAATGCATGATCTGTTTGGTATTTTGAGAGAGAAAAAAGTATAAATATGCCTTATATAGGTATGGTCCTACACTATATTATTAAAATATAGCATGATAGGTCCACTTTAAATTAAATTAAAATGTGTATATTGACACTTAAACCATGCTTTAATTGCAGGTTTGTTCTGAATGAGAGAAAGACTTGTGACTAATGCGTATTCCTCAAACTCTTTTCCCATTAGGCTCTTCGGTTCCCCCCCGGCTCACAGACCTGGTTAAACTGGCACAAGAATGCTGTTACCATAGCAACCTGGCAGTGGCTGCTCATGGGATCGTAGTGCTCTCGAACATCGCTATTTCCTGTCCAGAAAAAGGTTAGTGATGGCAAGTAGTGCCCGTGGTGAGAATTTCTGCCTCTAGCATGAACCATTGCTCCTGTGTGCGTAGACTGAGTGTTTCTGTGTTCCTCCTCCTCAGATATAATACAGCTGGAGCAGGAAACCGTTTTGGGAGTCGAATCCCTTCTGATGCTCTGCAGTCAGGACAGCAGCTCCAGCGCACAGGCCACACTCAAAGTAAGACATCTTTATAACCTTAAGGCATGTTTTGATTAATACAAACCTGTTTAAACCTCATCTGGGATCAACCCAACTGTGTTTAAATCATAGTGTAGACAACTGTCATGTTCCTTAAACTGACATTGATGATCAATTTGCAGTCTTCTTTTAGCTATACTTTAACTTTATAGTTTCTGATTTGACATAGTTATAGTTTAAGATTGTATTTTACTTCAGCAAAGTTATTACATGATTGTTTTTTTTTGGGAAGACATTAAATATTTGAGATTTTGTGCCTACACATTTCAGATTAAACCCATTATTTTCAGGCCTTTATGATGAAGTATTTTGAAGAAGAAACAAAAGTATTTGTAATCTCTGGACAAATTATTGCAGCTAAAGAGGGTAACATTGCTTTGCCGGCATTGCTCGCTAAAGCTACACTTTTTCTACACTTTAAACGTCTACATTATGATTTAATGATTCCCTATTTTGTGTCTTCACTAGACCACCCTCACCTCATTGGTCAAACTGCTGAAAGGTCGACCTCATCTCAGCCAATCAGCGGTGGAGTTCCTGCTCGGTCAGCTCCACTTGTCCTGCGACTCCTCTCGTGTCCTCATGTGCCACGCTCTGGCCGCCATCGCCACCCACCTGCCCGTGCTGGGCGACGGGATGCTGGGGGACCTGGTGGACCTCTACAGGGTGGCCAGCCACTCCTCCACTGACAAGCAGCAAGAGCTTCTGGTGAGGGACTGCATCAGACATCAGCTGCTGCTTAGACCGAAGATATAAGAGGACATGTCAAACCAAAATGTACCTCAAAAGAAAATGTAAAAGCTCTAAACTCTAGTGCTATTTATTGATGTAGACTGTTTTGGTGTGAGTTGCTGAGTGTTGGAAATAACAGCCATAGAGATGTCTATCTTCTCTTAAATATAATGGCAATACATAATTCACAGACCTTGATGTGAGCATTTTAATGTAGAAGCTTTTTTGTTTCTAAACCACACCCTCGTAAACAAGAGAACACAAGCCTCTCGTCCTTAAGCAGATGCAAGCTTATTTATTCGCAGTGATGCAAAGAAAAGACATTGCTCACTTTGAGCACCAAAAGCTGCGTAACATCTAGTTCAATTTGTTCCAGACATGGCCAACATCTCCACGACAAACCTTTAAGAAGAAATTATGTTATATCTATGTTCGGCCCAGGCACACCTGTTTTAAAAAACAAGCTTTTTTAGCAAAAGATAACTACTAGCCCACAACTATGTTAGAATAGCTGACATTGCATTCAGCTCTAAAATATGTTCTGGTTCCTATACTTTAATGCCCTTGTATTTCTCTGAATTTGGATTTCAACACTCATCTCTCCCTCTGTGATCGCTGCTGCAGGTTTCCTTGGCAACAGTGATTTTTGTTGCCAGCCAGTCGTCTCTGTCAGCCGAAGTGAAGACGGTCATCAAACAGCAGCTAGAGAATGTAGCAAACGGCTGGACGGTGTACCGCATCGCACGACAAGCCTCACGCATGGTAATCTTTTATGCTCGTACAATGCAAGACATGTGCTATAAAATGGATTAAAATTTAAGGCTTTGCACAGTTGCTAAAGGTCTTCCCCGGCAAAAGTATCTAATTAAGTAACAAATGACTGCCAAATCTTGCACATGACCCATAATGAAATGTTATCGTTAATCTGCAGGGATGCCACGAGTTCTCCAGCGAGCTGTACCAGAGTATGCGCACCCGAGTGGCGTCGGAGCACTTCTACTTCTGGCTGAACAGCCTGAAGGAGTTCTCCCAGGCAGAGCAGTGTCTGAGTCACGTGGAGGACGGAGACTACAGTGGAGCCATGACCGCCATCGCTGAGGCGCTGCGCTCCTACCAGAAGGGCATCGCTTCTCTCACAGTCAGTCCACTCTCAGGCTTCTGCATGTCCAAAACATTAATACAATTCTTCCTCTTACGTCATCAATAAATAATGCTTAAAGGGATCGTACCAGCACGAAGCTAAACATTTATTACTGTGGACGGAGGCGGCAACAAAACATATTTTAATCACCTAAAAGAAAGTATATCGGTTTGAATGTGCGCTATACTTTGTACTTAGTTGACACTGCTTTACTCTGGTATCACCTCAAGCCGTTATCTATGCTTTCTTCAAAGCAACCAGACTCTTTCATCTTGCAGAACAAGGAAGCTGCCATATTACCAATGCCTCAATCGATGACTTTGTGTTATTGTGTGACTTTTGTGTTTTAAAAAGGTAAGTCCTGATTCACACAATAACAAAAACAAATGAACAGTAAAAGACCAGCAACCCCTGTGTTCTACAAGGTTAAATTATTGTTCTTGTCAACGGAGTCTGGTGGCTTTGAATAGAGCTTAGATAACGGCTTCAGTATGTACCCAAAAGGGAGTACTGTTGGCAATACTCTGACTATTAACAAGTGCTTTGTTCAACCATCCAAGCTAACCCTTTAACCTGCTGTTATTCAGAGCAGACTCGTGTTATTATCACTGCATCTCAAATCGCTAACGGATTAACTTCCCTTAAACCTGAGTGTATTTTGTTTCTGTTAACTAAATGAAGAACAGTGACATTATTCAGCGGTAGTGTGTATGTGCTCTATCTGACTTCTCTCTCCATGCAGGCCGCCAGCACTCCTCTGAGCCCGCTCTCTTTCCAGTGTGAGTTCATCAAGCTGCGCATCGACACCCTGCAGGCCCTGTCGCAGCTCATCTGCACCTGTAACAGCCTGAAGACCAGCCCCCCCCCCCGCCATCGCCACCACCATCGCCCTGGCCTCAGGCAACGACCTGCAGCGCTGCGGCCGCATCGCCATGCAGGTAAAACTCTTGACAGTGAGGTAGAAACACTCAGGATGTTTCTCACCAAAAGGCTAAAGGGTAGGGCTGCAGTTATTAATTGTTTTTATTATCAATCAATCAGCTATTTTACTCAAAGGCCAGGGTATTTTCTCTAAATGTCTTATTTTGTCAGCACAGAGAGAAGCAGGAAATCCCCATATTTGAGAGGGGAACAACTTATGACATGTTAGGAATCACGACTAATTTGAGGATTTGAGATGTTAAATGAACAAATGTACTTACTCATCAAGTCAATGTGTTTTCTCTCTTTTTCCCAGATGAAGGTTTGCATGGATGAGTTCAGAAGTCTCGCAGCTCGATACGCTGATTTGCACCAGTCGTCGTTTGACGCTGATTATGCCACCCTGCGTAACGTGGAGCTGTATCCTCAAAAGTCACATCACACTTTTAAAAGTATTTTTGTCAACCCTGCTTTCTCTGCTGTGGTGTCTCCTTTCTATAATGTTGTCATTTCTCTTTAACTGCTGACTGCTCAGACAACAACAGAGCTGTTTGCTTGTCTCTCACGTTATAGAGGCTCTGATACTGGACCCTCAGGCAGCAAGGTGAGAGCCACAAAGTTCATTCATTTGTTTGGTGTAGGACAACGTTTAAAATATAAATTGGTCTAGAATTGATCTTGTATCATTTGAGGACTTTTGAGAAAATATATTTAGTGTGAAATGACGTCTATATGTATTTGATAATCGGGACTAGAGGGGTTTTGCTGGCTTAATAAGTGGGGGAAACACTGATTTTGGGGAAGACGGCCATAACAAAAGGAACAATTGTCAACTTATTTGTAATAAATTATATTGATTTTGTCAAGGGGAGGCGTGTGGCGCAGTGGGTAGTGCGTTGGTGTTCGGATCAAGGGAGCACAGGTTCAAACCCCACTGCAGTCAGCATGTCGTTGTGTCCCTGGGCAAGACACTTCACCCCAAATTGCTCCTGTGGGGATTGCCCACAGTATTGAGTATGTAAGTCGCTTTGGATAAAAGCGTCTAACAAGTAACATGTAATGTAATGTCAAGAATCGTGATTTAACTATTTCAGCATGATGTATGGATGTGGCTTTTTCGTAAACCGCACATTAGACATGGATGACAACTAATCCAAATCTTCTGCATCTTTATAAATCTTTCTTCTAAAAAGGTTTTTCACTGTACCGTGTACTTGAGTGTTTTCTGTAGAAAGTGCTTTGCGGTAACACGCATCATCCCGGGAGGCTTCTCCTGGCAGACGTTTGTCGGTAACAGATTGTGTCTCTCTTCCTGTAATCTAGCTTTCAGGAGTACGGCACCCTGGGCTCGGTTCAGACGGAGAGTGAATATGAGCGCCGGATGATGTCGGTCTTCAGTCGAGTGTTGGAGGAAGTGGAGGGTCTCACCAAGAAACACCCTCCTGTCTCACACCTGGTGAGATTTTATTCAGGGTTTCTAACTTTTAAAAGCTGGTTTAGTATTTTAAATGATACGGTAAAGGTTCGAAATATACCTGAATGTAAATATAATCCTTCTAAAATGCCTTATTTTCCACACAATCGGATGATCTATTTATTCAATCACTCAAATTAACTACATTTTTTTATATTTGAAATCCAGTCCTCGTTATTTTTGGTTTAATTGCTTGAATTCTGCTCTTCAAAAGCGGTTTAATCATGACCATATAATAACAAAAATAATATATAATACCTTTGATCACAACGTTTTCAAATGCTGACTGACACATGCTCTGCTTTAACTTGTGTTATACATGTAGAGCAGTGTTTCTCAAACTTTTTCATACCAAGGACCTCCTAACTCCACAAATATCCAAAAACACATCGTTTTTCTAGAACAGATTACAAATCGCCTGAAAATGGTACAAACAAGTGGCAACATGTGTGATGAAGGTGTTGCGCTGGGCTATATCATGCAATCGAAAGTGCAACTTAAGCTCGCTCCATTGCGGAAATATTCCCGCGAGAGTGCGGAAAACTTTTATTTATTTATTTCAAATGTGAAATTTAAAAAGATTGAAATTGGTGGCGCTCACGGGCCACCAATGGTCCGCGGACCACACTTTGAGAAGCACTGATCATGTGTTGAGTGTTTCTTGCTAAATAATTGTTTACTTTATTTAAGTTTTTTTCTTAACTGGGTATTCAGAAGAATAAATGTAACTTGGTTAAATGAAATGTCCTAAAGTGTCAATATTGACGATTTATTGTTTCTCAGCATACAGGTTGCCTCTGTGACGCCGTCATAGCTTTGCTCAAAGTCCCGCTGTCTTTCCAGAGGTATTTCTTCCAAAAGCTCCAGTCAACAAGCATTAAGGTACAGCAACTTATAATTATATTAGAACATTACTAAAAATATACATCCCTATTCTCAATTAAATATGCCAAACAGAATATGATGCAGTAGGAAATGATAAAGAGTTTACTGTGTATATACTAGTTATAAATGTGCATGTACATGTAACTCATGTATGAAGCATGTATGTATTATTTCTCTCTTCTTTAAGGGAAAAAATGCAGTACAAGTTTAAACATTATCTTTGTGAAGTTTTATTAGATTGAAATATCCTCAGGACAACATAAATGATGCCCTTGGTTGTTCATGAACAGAAGGAAGAAGGGGGAAGTCACACCTGTTAACTCTGATGCTTTTATTTGACCTAATAAACTTTTTGGCAAACTCCCTTCAAACCTATCCTTAGATTATATTAGGGCAGGGCAACATACAGTACAGTTTTCCGCTACTTATATATATATGACAGTCTTTCTTCAGCTCTTTTTTAAGCTCACGCATTTTATATTTTATTTTTCTCTCCAGCTCGCCTTGTCTCCGTCCCCGCGGACGCCCAGCGAGCCGATCCCGGTGCAGAGCAGCCAGCAGCTGACTCTGAAGGTGGAGGGCGTCGTGCAGCACGGCTCCACACCCGGACTCTTCAGGAAGATCCAGTCCGTCAGCCTCAATGTCACTTCAGTCCTGCAGAGCAAGACGGGAACCGACCTCAAGGTATCCAGTGATTTCCTTCAACTTTGGTTATTGCTCAATAATGCAAATATTTCAGAATAATAGAAATCTTTAGTCCCTTTTTTATATTGGGCTGAGCATTATATCCATATCATGTCAATATTGGGACATTAGGATAGATACGTCTTATAATTCGTATATCATCATATCCTAACATTACAAACAGTAAGTCATGTATTTTCCAGGTTTGAAGGCTGCATTTCAAAAAGTGATGTAACTTTCTGAATTTAACAGATTCTTTAAATGGTTTTTTTTGTCCGTTTAGTCATTTTGTTCACATTGCTGGTGATTATTTATAAAAAATACCAGTGTAATTATTTGGGAAACCACCAAAAGTCAACCCTACATTATCAATATCGAGATATCGGATAAAAGAAAATGCCGATTTGATTTTACTCCATACTACTCTATGTTCTCTGGTTGTTTTTATATTATAGAGAAAATTGCTTTATTCCATGTATAAAGCTCATATTGGGTATTCTCCAAATGTATATGCAGTGCAAGTACATCTACATACCTGTACTGTATTTATCAACAGATCATGCTAGCTCTGGCGTTTGTACTTCCATTTGTTGTTGTGTTGCTGCTCTAATAATGATAAGAACAAACATATTTGTCTTTTCCCTTTCCAGATTCCACTCGACAGTAAAACCAATGAGATCGAGCAGCGTGTTGAACCCCACAACGACTACTTCAGCACTCAGTTCCTGCTGAACTTCTCCGTGTTGGGCACCCACACCGTCACTGTGGAGGCCTCGGTGGTGGACGAGAGTGGCATTGAGTGGAAGACGGGGCCCAGGACCACGGTGTCGGTCAAATCTCTGGAGGATCCGTACTCTCAGCAGCTCCGCCATCAGCTGCAGCAGAATGCCGCTCAGCCTGCTCCACAGAGGAGTGCATACGCTCGCTTCTAGCCAATATCCTCAGTGCTTCACCGTCAAAAACAGGTTAAGCTTGTGTACTTGACCTTGTAGAAACTGAGTTTGTACATATTGTTCTTCAACGATTAAAAGATCAGATTTAATTTTCATGCTGCACTTTGTTTGTAATCCTTTCAAATGAATGTTGAGCGGGTGCTAAGGACACATAAGTGGCCTTAATTATAACCTGATGGTGAAGATTTTCAGTAGGGATGCTCCGATCGCGAGAGTCTATCGCATGACGTGAAATTATGACGTAAAATACATGACACTTTTCTCTGTGCGCGGCTAAACAAGCTCGCCAAATTGGCTTCACCGGTCTGGCAGTATTTTAAGGTGTCCGAAAATGACAATGAAATAGCGGTGTGTGAAGCAGAAATCCTGCAGCTCCACCCGCTGTGACGGACCGGTGAGCGGAGCAAAACACACACTGAGAGTTAGACCTAACACGCTATTTTATGTACCTCTGGAACAAGCTAAACTAGTTATAAATATATAACACTCATTACTGGATCGGTGAGCTGCATGAGACGATACTGACAGGCTGTCAGGAGAGAGAGAGAGGAAAAGAGAGCGCTTCCGCTAATTTCTCCCGTGTTATTATCCAAAGTTAATGTAAACTTGAATAATGTACTTCATTTGAATGTAATAATTATGTTGGTTGTTGTTTGTGGAAGCGCCAGTGAATGAGCCCCATTAACTGAGTTTTAAACATCACTTTAAATGGAAGATCCCCATAGCCCCCACCCACTCGATCGGATTGGCGATCGGTATCGGCCGATACTGATTCCGGCGATCAGAGCATCCCTGATTTTCAGCCTCAACTCAAGGTAGGTCACAAGTGGAAAAAAACACTTTAAATTCCCTGTCCCTACTCTTAACTGTCCAATATTATTTCATGCATGACGTAATTTACGGTACAGTTTATTATTAAAAGACCTTGGATTTACAGTGTAATCTATTCTGCATGAAGTGTAATGGCATAAAGAGCCATCAGGGGGCACACAATAGTCATTAACTGGTCATCATTGTGTGACAGCACAAATATCTCATGTCAATTCCAGACTTGCCAAATCATTCAAATGTTAGTAATTATGTGTATATTATAGTTTTATGTGTGAATACCTTCGATGTAACATTCAATTTCACCGAGCACAACTACTTTTCCTGGTATTTCGCCCTATAATTAAAACAGTTTGACTATCTCAAATTCTTCCAACATAACAGAATGATGCAAACTCCAAAAGCCCACACTGTTTCCGGTTAAAATTAAAGTAAGTACATCGATGTTAACGGTGAACTCATGCACCCATACCGATGATGTAACCTGTGAACGACTCGCGGCCGGGAATGAGTCCAGATTATGTAAAATTAAGTCATAACGTTTAGTCACTACATGAGCAAAGCAGCTTCTTTTTTTATAGATACTGAAGCCATCAGCACTTGACATCAGAGTCTGCGCACTTAAAGCTGGCGTCAGGTGAACGCGGGAGCGTCAAGTGAGAAGGATTAAAAAGTAAAAGCTCCGCACCTGGTTTTCAAAATAAAACTTTTGCTTAACACTGTGCATTTTTGTACAATATATATATAAAAAAATAAACATACTTCTTGTAAGTGGAAGTAAACCTTCTCCATATTAATAATATGACCTCAATAAAAAGTCAAGTAAAAATAGCAATACCACAATGTGGAAAGACTCAAGTAAATGTCTTCCATAAAAACAAATGGTCTCTATATTGTCTTAACCAATATAATATATCATATTATGTTTGTTGATTCGAGTAGATTATTAATAATCTGATTCTGCAGATTAACTAATACAACAATGACATCCCTAGAACAATATTGCATTTGTTTAGTATATAAAAAGTAAATAAAATATAATAATATATATAAATAATAATATAATATATATTTGTGTCTTTTATTATACTGAGCTATATGATTTCGAGACCTAGACCCTGCCTTGCCTATGCTTTTATTTTGAAGGTAAAGTGAACTCACTTCCGCCCTCACTCTCGTGGTCTTTTGTGTACATTGACGCTGCTGAGAATCGAGCTCTAGAGAAAGATAACGGGTCCTGCGAGTCTAGAAACGAAAAAAAGCTCAGCTCTCTGTATTACATGAGCATATGTCGTGTATAGTTTGTGTTTGCGTTTATTTAACCGTCAGCGTTAACCCAACCCCCGGATCCGAACTATCCTCCATCTTCGCTAATGGGAGCCGCCGTGTAACATTAGCTAGCTAACCTGACGATGATGAGGATGATGATGATGCATCGGAGGATTTATCCCGGTGTCTCTGACTGAGATGGAGCCAGCGACACTCTGCTGCTTGCTAGCTAGCTAGCGAGCTAACGGAGCCCGCCGGGGTCCACGGTGCAGCCGAGCCACCCTGAGAGAGCCTGATGGGTGCTGCTGCAGCTTCGCTTTCACACATCTCCACCCGGGCCAGAGACATTTCAGAGACCATGTCCACTGGCACAAAGATGCTAACATAACCGTTTAGGTTAGCCACACGTGACATAGTTGATCTCGATCCAGCATTTAGCTTACACCCCTGGCCGTCCTTGGATGCTTCATTGACATTTACTGGGTGAGTAACAGGATTATTACTACATTACAGGGTCGGGCTATATTCTGGAGGAGGCGAGCGGATATTGCGCTTTGCACCAGCCCCCAGACATCCGAGTTTGGTGTTGTCTCTTAAAATACCTGCACACTCCAGCTTATTAGATACTTCTATTATTTATGTTAGAGTGATTTACAATTATGTCATAACCCAGGGTTGTCATACCGGTCATATTTCTTTACATATGTTCCCGTTATGCTAACTCCCTGCTTCTAGCTAGCATGCCATGAAGTGTACCACCACGTCCCGGGCGACTGGTCCTTTTATGGTCCTGTCTATGCATGCATTACTGTAAAGGCTAGGCAGCTAGCTAGCAGGAATTCACGAAAAATCACAGTTCAGGATAAAACCCTTTGAATAAAAACCACAAGACAGAGTCCACTACCAGTGTGTTGCATTTAAAATTCGTGGAATAGCCTCACCCTTAACCGGTTAGCGGCAGCCTCACTCCATTAGGTGTATAAACCAAGATTTGTTGTGGATGTTATTTGCACATAATTCTGTTTATCGTAAGGATAATGTTGTGTACACACACACATGACTTGTCCTTTATTGGTAAACCAAGCCTAGCCGAGATACTAACAGCTGTGTCTCTGTGTTGCAGACGGTGTGTTTCAGGATGGCACAGCTCTTGGACGGGGCCGGCAAACTGGGCTGGGTTCTGCTCAAGTCTGTGATCCGTTTCTTGTTTATGTTGTGCAACAACTGTGTAGCCATCCCATCCTACTGTTTATACCTGCTGCTTCTCCAGCCGCTGAGAATATGGGACAGCCCGACTTTCTGGTACATCGAAGGAGTCATGTTCAAATGGATGCTGGCCATGGTGTCTTCATGGGGCTGGATCGCAGGTTATACAGGTAAGATACTTTATGATGTACACACACAGCCATTGTTCTACATGGTGCCTGTATGCAAAGGTATTTTTGCATGCCGCACTAAATGTTATACAGGTTACTGATGAGCAAGACTGAACAATATTGCTTTTGGTAGATCCTTTAGTTTGCCATTCGTGTATTTACCTGTTATAAACAGGTAACAGCCATAGTGATGGGCATTCGTTTCACTGAAAAGCCTACAAGGTTTTGCAATGACATTAACCTCTGTGCTCAAAGACTCTTCTCTGTTGGCTCAATACATGTTTGTTTACTACTCGATTAAAAGTTACAAGGCTGTTTTTAATCCAACCAAATATGGTAGTTCGCAACACATCCTTTTATTTAATTTATACAACATTAACCAACATATAATTATAGGTTATGTTTGATTTATGGATGCCTTTTGATAGTATTTGTTGTTTTCATATAAACCCCAACGCTAGTATTTATCTCGTGTTACACGTATGTAGTATTTTTTGTGATGCAGCTAACACAATATTTTTCATCTTCATCAAGAGTCTTTTGAACATTCATTTTGAACATCAAGAACCTTTGTCAGACAACCCTTTTGCCTTTCTAACATCGCAACGAATATATATTTTTCACAGAAACCTTTGCTTACACCATTGACTACAATCTCAATACAAGAGACGCACACATTATGCTCAGGTGCTCCTCTGTTTCCTCTTGAGTTGAACATATCTCAGAAACAGGGTTCGGACAGATGATTGAATGACAGTTTGCAGTTGCTCTTTGTTCCTCTTTAAATGGGGCATTTCCATATAATAAAGCAGTGTGCTTCTTTAGATTAGATTACACTAGATTAGATATTGGTCCCACATTTGGAACTTGTGTTAACATTGGTTGCAATTCTCCCCTTGAAAAGATTGTTAAGCCTGTTCCTGTTTGTATAGCTAAATACTGTAAGTCCACCTTTTTACTATTGCTGCATCTGTCACTATTAAGCATTCAATGCATTAGTTGCAGGGCTGAAAGGATTAGCCCATTCATTGATTAGTTCATCACAACATAATTAAACTATATTGTGCGTTGATGAGTTCTTCGATGTGATATTGAAGGAACAATACCAACATTAGCTCTTTCCAATTGCTCAAATGTGAGTTATTCGATTAATTATGTCTTAGAAGTAAAAGGTTAAGACGATTTGAATGTGTCCCGCTGGTTAAGCATTTTCACGTTTGTTCTTATGTCATAGAGAAAGTGAGAAACTTGTGTGCGGAGTGATCAATAATGACGCCATGAGAAACTGTGTTTAGTGATAAGGTACAGATACTGTATGACAAACGCACATAATTGACACGTATAGAAGAACAGCTGGATATGACGAGTGTTTGTTGTTTCCTCTCAGCTGAAGTGATTCAGTGGTGTTTGGTTGCTCAGAGCTCAGAGCAAAATGCTTACAAATTGCTAAGTGGTGAACATGGGGAGCAACAAGGTGTGCTGATTAATAATGCAACGCGTTCAGCCTATAGAACACCAGGTGTTGCGTTGAGTAATTATATGTGTTACTTTGATTGACAGTGTTTGGAAGTGGGTTGATATCAAATAAAGCATACACTGTCACTTTGATGCTATTTATACAA